ATTTCTGATCCATTTGATCACCCCTGGTAATCTATTCGATTGTACTAATTCAGATTGTTATTTCATTATCCCTGATGAGAACTGACTTAATGATTATCAATTTCAGACTAACCATTAAGTGAATTTTCCGATTTAATAAAATTTTCCTCCTGGAATGTCGGTGGTTCTGTGGCTGCTGGCGAGCAGTGTATCATTGAAGATGATCCTGCTTGGTCATTGATCTCATTATCGATCCTAAAGATATCAGACCCCTACATCAATAATTACGTAAGATACTGCCCAGCGAGCACAAACATCCCTGGGATGTTTTGGGATGTTTTGAAAATGTTGGCATGAAGATGTTATTTTGAGACGTGGCATTTCTTTGTTTGACTACTGAGAGGTATCCCTGGGATGTTTTGGGATGTTTTAGAAATGTAGGCATGAGGATGTTTTGTTGAGGCATAATATGCACTTCCCAAAGAGTTCTTAGAAGGATATTGAAAGTATTGTGTTTGTTCTTTTGTGCCCTTTCTTTGTTTGTCCCACCACAACGTCTCATGCTTACGTCACAATACGATGAATTCTGATTTGTTTTCGATTTTGTTCTTCTTGTTCGCAATTGGCATTCGCGTTTGCAGCGTGTCACGCACGCTGCTAACGAACAGAAAGGAATTTGGTGAAGTTTATTGTGTTAGAAGACTTATTTAGTTTGTAATAATGACCATCAGATGCAAGATGTGTTGTTCGGTGCCTCAGTGTAATCAATATATAAAAGTACGAATTCATCAATACACAGCTTCTCCGCAGTTGCAAAATTATGCATTGTGGAGAACATTTCAAAAATTGGGAAACCTATTTCCAATTATATGTCTGTGTGTAGTAAGCACTACTCAGAAACCGATTAAGAAGGTTATTTCATATCAAGGAAATATTTTTTTTGTTCAATCTATTTTCAATGCATTTTTTCATTCAACGGAAATGGAATCCTAATGCAAAAGTTCATTTTGACAAAAGGCTTCAGAAAAGTACCTCAAAAATGTTTTTTTTACAGCGATTTAATGTGCGCAAGACGCGTTGAAAATGTTTTGTTGTGTCCATGAAAAGGCTTTAAAAAGAACTAGGGAGAAGGTTGTTTTGTGACATATTAAGGACATCTCGATAATTGCCGCCTGCGGCGGACATCGGCTGTTCTATAATAGTTCTATTCATGTGTGAACAGAACATCGCAGTGGAGGTTCAATGTCTCGAAATCTCGTACTTTTAACATCTCTGAGATGTTTTTGTGCTCGCTGGGTGGGGTGCTTCTGTGAAAAGTGAGACAGTATTTATTATTTCAGGAATGAACATTTTTAGAAGGAATATGAGTAGTTAGTGAATTAGACGATCTGTTCTCTGTTCTCCAATCCGAAGTAATTTCCACCCTATCTTGTCTGCTAATATGATATTCCGGACATGTATAGTTGGTTCCATGGCTGCTAGCGAGCAATGTATATCACTGATGGTAATTTCAATTGGTCATTGACTGTATCTCAGGAATATTTCTTGCTTCTGGAAATTTAACAATCCTTACTAGACAATTACGTAAGATAAGGGGGAATTTCCATGAAAAGTGAGACAAAAACGAAATTTTCACAACTGGAAATTTTTTCAAGGAAAATATGAATAGTTGATGAATTGGGCTTCCTGATCCCGAATCCGAAGTGATTTTCAACCAATTTTGCCTCCTTATATCATTTTCCGGTAAATTGGGGTGGTTCCATGGCTGTTGGCGAGCAGTGTATATCACTGAAGATGACCCCACTTGGTCATAGTGTACATTCTTGGTATATCTCTCGCTCCAGCAAATTTCACTATCTCAATCCAACGAATATGTAAGATACAGGATACAGGGGTGTTTCCATTAGAAGTGAGACACACTGTATATGCTGGATGAAGCTCGATCTAAATCTACGTTAACTCATAAAAATCGAATGATGTATCTGGTTCATGATCCGGTCTATATTCATATAGTATAGTTAATCAAAATCAAAGACGTAAAAATTTTCCCTTAGCTTTAATTACGTAAAAGGCACATACCGGGTGACACAGGGTATCGGGCCACCCCTGTAACTTCTGCTTTCGTCATCGGATTTTTCTGAAATTCGGTACAGTTATATAAGCAATTATTTCGGATTTGATCACATTACAATCCAATATGGCGGACTTCCGGTTTTTCTGAAAATGCCAGCAACTTTGTTTTTCCAAATGAAACATCCTGTATATTTTTACATATTCAAGTTCAACAGGTCGAAACAAGTGCAATCTTTATTTCAAATGTCATTTTTTCGAAAAAATTTAAATTAAAACTGTTTTTTCATTTCACCTCGTGGATAAATGAGATGTGGTCAAGACTAGTCACAATGAGTCACACATAACAGAAGATCATAATTTTTTCTGAAAAATTATTTTTTGTGTCACTTATCCAGGAATCAATTCAGCCACATCACTTTTTGATCAAAAATGATTTTTTTTCAAACGGAACCCCTATGGGCCACCTGCCCGTCTCTCTAGAACATACATTAAGGAACAAAATGACGCATCATTTTTGTTTTTCGGTGCAGTAACAAATTGTATACATTCAAAAATCAACAACTAGTTCATGAATTTCCTTGCAGTTAGAATAATTTTTCAACTAGGTAGGCTGTGGAATAAATGACATTTGACATCAAGATTGCACTTGTTTTGACCTGTTGAACTTGAATATGTAAAAATATACAGGGTGTTCCATTTGAAAAAACAAAATTGCTGGCATTTCCAGAAAAACCGGAAGTCCGCCATATTGGATTGTAATGTGATCAAATCCGAAATATTTGCTTATATAACTGTACCGAATTTCAGAGAAATCCATTGACGAATGCAGAAGTTACAGGGGTGGCCCGATAGCCTGTGTCACCCGGTATAGTGTTCTACGTATCCATATTCTTCAAAATGCTTTATCTGAAATTTCACTCTTCAAGCTGAACTAGTTTTTTCTCATTGCACATTGGTTTCAAACATAAGAATAGAATATCAGACTAACTTCCTATAACATTCTTTTCAACATTTTTTTTTAGTTCGATTTGGTAGCAACTCTCTTTGTCACTTTTTTGTGCTCTCTTACCCTTAGTCTTAGTGGTGCAAAAATATTGATTTTAGTGTAAACTTTTCTCTCATTTTCATAATATGGTAGCATTTCACTCAAATGCATTTTCTTCAACTACAAAATTGTTGGCGTGAGGTTCACGTATGAAACTGGTTCTGTAAATTAAATAATGTGTGGTACTTTAGAAGTAGCCTAATTCAATTTCATTAAAATTTTCTTGAAAGTGATTTCTGAATTTCATATTCGAAATGGTAGCTTTCTGATATGAGTTGAGTTGAGTAAGCATCGCGGGGACTTGTCGAAGTCCAGACAGCTAGACCGCTAGTGTGGGTCCATTGTGTCGCCCCGTGAGTATGGCATCCTTCACAAGAGTCCCGCAGCTCTGCCGAAGGCTAGGATGTCTAGTAGCCGGGATGTTTGGCGCATCTTCCGCTGGAAGAGTCGTTTGTCCGAAACTCCGCCATCTGTGCTGTGTTAGCGCAGAACATTCACATATGATGTGGATGGGAGTTTCGTCGTTTTCGAGACATAAACGGCACGTTGGGTCATCGGAGATGCCCAGAATGTTTAGATGTCTGTTGAGGCGGCAGTGTCCAGTTAGTAAGCCAGTGACAACTCTGCATTGGCTTCTTCGCATATTCAGGAGGGATTGGGTGAGACGTATCGAAGGCCTATCAATGAAGGTCTTCGCCTGCCTCATACCCCTGGATTCAGTCCATTCCTGACAAAACCTCTCTGTCAGAAGTTCTTCAAGTTTTCGCAGTCCTGTGCAGAGAGAAATGCTCACGATGGGCTCTGGGCCCACAGGACGGGCTGAAGAACCTTGCCTTGCTAGAGCATCGGCTCTTTCGTTGCCATCTATCCCACTATGTCCCGGAACCCAAAGTAGTTCGATACGGTTTTCCCTTGCTATCTCAGCAAGGTTCCGTTTGCAATCTAAAACCAACCGAGAGACCACTCTTGGTGCTCGTAGAGCTTTGAGAGCGGCCTGACTGTCGGAGCAGATGGAGATGCGCTTGCCTCTTATGTGGCGTCGTGTGATTTCTTAATATGCTAGATGTTTGATTTTTGTGTACGGTATCAGATTATGAGAATAGTTCCCTGAGCATATGGTATATCAAGGAATCATCAGGAACTATTTGCATTATTTTGAGCACTGGTCATAACATGAAAACTCACAGCCTTCATAAAATTAGTTTTGCTAATTGAGTGGGCAAACAATCTGTATGAAGTTTCTAGTAGCTGTGTTTTTCAGACGAAAATACGGGAGTACCAAAACAATCAGATAAATCATCGCATGATTAGTGGAGAATTACCAAAAAATTAGACGCAGGGTATAACATGAAGTTATAGTTATGTTGTAGCCATCTAGTGGCCAAAGCTCTAAGGTAGGATCCAGAGATCGCTACACACACTGTATGACGCTGCCATCTATAGTCACACGTACAGACCCATACGGCTATACGCTACAGAGTGGTACTAAAAGTAAACCACTCTGCTGACAGATGGCACTACCTGACAAACTTGAGTGGATTAATCCACCGAACTGTTCAACTGTTAGATCTCATAACTCATAACCAAGAGCGTCTTCAAAATGGGTGATATATCCGAAGCGTAGAGTTGTCCCAGTTGTCAGCAGACCGAGAGCGGCTGATGAGACCTGGTGGGTCGAAACAGTACCACAGATTATTTGTTAATCTGTGACAGCACTGTCTCGTTCCTGCTGACAATTAGGTTAACACTGTTCATCTTGGATCTCTTAGTTATGAGATCTAGCAGTTAAAAAATTAGACATTTCAAGGAGTTACCTACCACTTTCAATATGCACAGAACATTTATAAGAACACCTTGTACCTACATCGATTAATGCGATCATGATTGAAATGATGATGCTCACCTCTTTCTCCTCGATACATTGGGCGTCCAAGGGAAATAAGGGCCGCTGAGGGGCGGGCCTGTTAGCCAGATAATATGCAGAGGCGGCGGCGACTCCTGTCAGGGCTAGAGCTCCCGCTCCCCCTCCTATATACATCAGGTACTGTTCCATGTCTTCCACTGTGAATGAGAAAAAAATGATCGAGAGCGGGCAAATCGCCATAATAGTTATTTATGCACGAGTAGGGCGTAAGTAGCACTTTACCGTCCGGTTTTGCGGGCGTAAGGTGGCACTTTACCGCTCGCAGACTATTTTACCGTCAGGCGCATTCGTAACTCGTATGAGGCATTCCTGTACCAGGCAGGACATTTATATTCATTCCTGTACAAATAATGATGAAGATGGAAAGCCCTAATTTCGAGTGACAATGGAAAATGAAAAAACTCCACTGCCCCGTGTGAGAGTCGAACTCACAACCTCTGGTAACTCGTAGTAGGCATTCCTATGTAATTTAGGACATTTATGTTTTATTTGTGGTGGTTGAGCTGCAAAATGATATTATGTTTCAACCCAAAATAAGTTATCTGTGATGACATTAATTGACAATAATTATAATGATCGGTACGATATCGTACCAGTATATCACCTGACGAAGCTACTGTGTTAGCGAAACATGTCGTGTGTTTGAGAATTTTGTGGAAATTTTATCGTTTGTGAAGTTTTTACATTTGCCATGAATTTCCATCAAGTAACGGCAGAGTCAATTCAAAATTTGAAGGAAGCTACGACTAGCTTTTTGGCCACCTGGTACATTAAATTCATCCTTCATTGCGCCATAACAAACCAAAATATTTGGTTCTACAATATCTGCATTAAGAACAGTGTTTTTCCAAAATTCAATCAATCAGAAACGTCAAATCAAATTATAATAATCTTCTCATATTTCCAAAAATTGTCTGATTTACTATGGTAACATTTATTCCATCAATGATATTCCTGATTGATGTATTTCTATCGTTTTTGAGAGGCGAAAACAACTGCTTTTCCTGCTATATGCCACGCAGATTATTGAATTACATCCTCCCGAAATCTATGCAACGATTCGTATAGACAAAAAAGATCGCAATTGTTTCTTTCCTATATGCTGATCGAATTATGCTTAAACTGTAGAGGAACGCTTGACTACCTATACAAACCAGTTTCAAGCTTTTGGCTCTCATCAGGGGTATTCCCAAATGGCATTTATAGCCGCCAACTGGTGCTGACCCGACCCAACGCAAATACACCCCAGCATTTAATACCCACAAGGCGTTCGGCCACTGCGAGGTGGACACAAACGCCACCTAGGATAGAAGGAAAGAAACACTCCAAAATACATTTCTATTTCATATTAGATGGGAGGGGCTGATTGATCGTCTGGAGTAATTTCAACTACGAAAAAGCTAAAATGCTAAATAAATATGCATAGCTCGAAGTCATTATCACAAATATTCATAAATGAACAAAACTGGTAGATAACGAGAAAAAACAACTACTTTCCTAGCTATATGCTACTCATCTGAAATGAGAATTTGTGTTGGAGTGTTTCTTTCCTTCTACCCTAGGTTGGGTCAGGTTCGCACCAGATCGCGACCATGAATGACATCTGGGGACACCCCCGCTCTGAGGAGAGGCAAAATCTCGAAACCGGTGTGTAGGTAGTCAAGCGTTCCTGAACAATTCAAGCACAAATCAGCATTCAGGAAAAAATCACATGCAACAACTGTATTCGTCTATACGATTATTCCGTTTTTTCATTTCTACCTCAAATCTTGTAGTTTGTTCAATAAAAAATAAATTTTTCCTTTCTCAAATTTTATCCCCATGGAGGCACCTTGATCCATGACTCATGGGACACCCTGTATATATTTGAAATCAGGAGAAAGATCTCCACCAATTGGGAAAAAGAAATACGAGGTGTTCTATTCAAAAAATACCAGCTCATGAAACATTTTTGGATTTACGATGCTTCTTTGCATTATCCTAGTATCTACTGAATTCTATAAATGTCCATGAAAAATAAGTACTTCGAGTAAAATATAAATAATCACCCTGTACATCTGAAATTTGATCGCATTAACTATGGAGATATACCGTGTACAGTTTTTCTTGTCCCAACCCAGATGAACATTTTTAAATTAATTATTATTCAGATATTGATGACTGTAGGTATTACAAATGGAAGTCATTGAAACAATAATGCTTCAATCGATATTATTTTCTTCAATAATTACTCATTTTCCCTATAGCGTCATTGCAAAATCGATAGCATAATACAGGGTATAATCATAAATAATAAATAAGTAATAAAACGCATAGGTATATACCTATTTAGGTGAAGGTAGGTAACGATTTTTCCATTATGTATCTATTTTCCTGAAATATATTAGCAACTTTCAACGTCTGACTCATAACTTCTTAGGAACAGGGTAAATTTTCATAACGTTGAAGTTAATAAATAATGAAAGTATGATGTGGAATAAATTCGATATTTTCGGAGAACTTCAAACACATTTTGGTGTGTGTCAATAAGGTGACGCATATCTTGGTATATGTATAAATGAAATGGATGGATATCTTAAAATTGGGATACCCTGTCTATTATTTGAATAGAGCACGTCAAACGATTACACACACAGACACAGATATAAGGAAGCCGTATAGATGAATACATTGAATTTAAACCCTAAAATGACTCAATGTGAACTATCTGACACCATTGAAAAAAATATAGCGATCAAAATAAGATTTGAGGCAGACCCTCTTTCCACTAAAAATTCTATATACCCATCAAGTGCTAGTCACAAACATAAACAAACTACACTCGTATGGAAGTCAAGTCCCAGTGGCAGTGGGTCACAGTTCATAATAAATTGTAGTTTAATAATCTAAAAAACACGCTTTTATAGATAGACAACATATAAATTACTGATTACGGAAGTGCTGGATTTTCTACACGGAAAAAACGGATTTGTTGCATCAACAAATTATTTATGCTTGAATTATTTTTGTTGGAGCAATTTTTATGGGGCGCCGTTTGGTTCATAATTATTTTTTTCGATATACATATAGACATTTTAACTCAAAATATAGAAAAAATCCTATATAATATACGAACTTATCAATATTATATGCAAAATTACGCAAATCAATGTTAAAATAATTTATTGTATTTTACCTGAAGAAGCCACTATGTTAGCAAAACATGTGTTATTATTCCATGAAGGAACGGCCGAATAAATACGAAATTCGAAGAATTGCCAAAATTTAACATAAAAAACTTACGATTCCCCCATCTATTCTTCTTACTGTCGTTCTTCAGTTTCAGCTCTTTAATTTTCCCGCACTTAATTTTGTTCCTTCGGAATTTCATGCAAAGCTTGGCATTGGACAAACAACTGTCCTTGGTCATCTCAAAAATTCACTATTGTCCCACACAAACAACGTATAATCCCGAATCGGTCAGCTCCCATTGGGTCAGTACGACAAGGGTATACTCAGTATTATTTAATTCAACGGTTGTTTCGCGGCATACTAGATAGACTGTGAACGGTGAATTGGAGCAAAATTTGCGGTATTTTCACCGGATGGCAGCAGCAGAAGACGAAGTTACAGGCTCGAAGAGTTAGGAGATTGTGAAGCGGAAGAATAATCTTTCTTGGACCACATTACTTCGCTCCTCCGCGTTTGCTAAAAGGCACTAGAGATGGATAGAAGATATGGTGGGCGCTTCATGTTCTACAGCTATTCATGTAACCAGTTAGGAAACGCATAATTTTGTGTAACGATGTGAAGTGAGACAATATAGGTCTTTTAAAGTGTATGTTATTCATAACAATGAGACCAAGATAAGGAAACAAAGGAGATACAAATTCGGTTAAATGGGAAAAAGTTGAGCAATCCGATGGTCATACCAACGGCCTTCGGAAATTTTCAAAAATGTTTATAGTTTTTCAGTCATATTGAAAAAAGTTAATTTTCGAAATAGTATATTGTGCAACAAGTGGAAAAAGTTCAACTTTTCTCACGTGTGTGAAAGTTGGTGACACGAGCCTGAAGAGCGAGTGATGCAAACACATGAGTGAGAACAGTGCTTTTCCCCAAATGTTGCACAATATACTTTTTCAACAACTGCACTTATTCAAAGAATCCAAGTAATGTAGCGTATTGGTATTCATTTTATAATGTGGCACTATGATACATTGTATATGGTGACCAAAGAGTAGACGCCTTTCCTAGTACCTCGAAGTATATTTGGCAACGCTGTAAACTGGTAAAGTCGTGTGCTCAGGTGCTCTGATAAAAACTAAAATTCCATAGTGCAATAGTGCATGTAAATTTTGAAAGTTTTGCGTTAGTTACTGTGAGTGATTCATCTAGCTAGTGAACATGAATTGTACATAGTTCACTATCCACGTAAGGAGATATTTGAGAATTACAAAATAGTCAACAGTAAGCAAGCTAATATACACATATACCTATAACCAGAGACTCTCAAAATGTCAAACTGTGATATTTGTGGAGGACGTCCACAGTCGAAACATAAACTTGATTGCAAGTGTTGTAGAAAAGTTTTCCACATTAATTGTGTTGAAGTTGATGAGGACCAGTTACAATCATTTAATGCCGGAGACGCAATCTGGTTATGCTCTACTTGCAATGCAAAGTTAATTAGTAATAAGCAGACTATACTAACAGACTCAACTGCTATAACTGACATTCAGAATAGCCTTAAAGTTATAATGGAACAACAGAATCAGTTTCTTGTGAAAATGGAGAGATATGACCAGGATATCAATAACCTAAAAGCCAAAGATACCGCACTAGAGGCGGACATTTCTGACCATGCAGGAAGAATTGAAATGCTGGAAAATGTTACGAGAAGCCTGAAAGACATAAACTATTCGTTGAGTACTAAAATAGATAATCTTCAACAGAGTAGCCGTATCAATTGTTTGGAGGTCACTGGTGTACCTAAACCTGCTAATGAGAACCCTTTTTTAACCGTACAGCTGATCGGATCGGCGCTTGGAATGAAAATTTCAGAATCACATATTGCCAACTGCTATCGGATTGACAAAAACAGTGGATCGGTGTTGAATATTACCTTCACAAAGTTGTGCTACAGAGATGAATTTTT